GGCTGCGGCTCAGCGGTAGAGCACATGCTTAGCACGCACGAGGTCCTGGGTCCAATCTCCAGGACCTCCATCAAATAAACAAATACGTCTAATTATCTCCCCCCAACCAAAAAAAAGAAGGGAGAGGAAAGGGAACCTGAGGAAGCAGACAGCACCCATCCGCTAGGTCAGCCAGAACGTTCTTCCTCGTCCACAGGTAAAACACGATCATCTCAGCACGATGAATGGTCAGTCTGGCGCGCCCACCCTGGTTCACTTAGTACATTTAGTAGAATGAGCACACTCCTTAAAATTCCAACCGATAGGCTAACCTAGCCTGTTTTCTTTTCTCAGATCTCTTAGGAAGATATGTTCCTGACATAAGCATTAAGTCTTGAAGAATAAGGAATAGAATTCTGAGAGAAACTCAGAATAGTGGGGAGGAGGGGCGCAGAGGAGGACTGCTCTCTCCATCAATAAGCATTTATTAAGCACTTACTATATGCCTCAGGTTGTATGAGGTGCTGTGGAGGCTATAAAAGCTACGTAATGAGGAGCTTAATGCCTTCTCAGAACCCATATTTTACTATAAAAAATAACCAGAAGCAAGAAACATAAAAGGATATGTAGCTAAGCTGCTAAGCTGGTGCGTAGAGATCAGCGGTATTTACGTACAAGCTGAGTGATGGGCTTCTGGAAGCCATAGCAGAGAAAACAGCAGGTCAGGAGGGAAAAAAGAAAAAATTATAGCTTGAAAGGAATAGGCAGACGGGGGCTAGTAAGTTCAGTAACAGATTCCCAGAAGGATTTATCCTTTCTTTTCTTTTTTTTCCCTAGAGGTTTATTCTTTGCAAAACACTTTTATGTGTATTAATCTCATTTTAGCCTTAACACAATCCAGCAAGGGAGGCAAGGTGAGGATTATAAAGGGGGAAGGATTTGAGAGAGATTTATGATGTACAAACAGCAGGATTTTATGACCAATTAATCTGGTTGAGGAGATGGGATGACCCACCACCACTCACTCACTGAAGCACTCATACAGCAAATCCTGCTTGAGGGTCTATGTTGTGCCCCATCTATGCACTGGTGCTAGGTTTCCAGATTCCCAGCTGGGGCTACCATGCAGATCATGGAGCCACCGCCTGCGACAGGAAACCGCGGAGGAAGAGCCCCTGCTGCTGATTGTCTGGATTTCCACCCTGTGAACTCGGGCTCCCTAGAGACAACCAGGTGCAGTTGACAAGTAGGTAATTTTTCAAGAAAGTTTGGCTTTTTCAGGGAAGAGTTCTGGGATATGAAATAGATTTGGAAATGATTAGCCTGTAGGTGAGAGTTAAAATGAGAGTTAGATGATCCAGAGAGGTCCTGGTTAAGACATTTAACAATTCTGAGCTTCAGTTTCTCTCTGAGAAGTGAAGATAATATCTGTATCACGGGACTATCTTAGATCAAATGAACATGAGTGGGCCTAGAAAACAGCAAAGCATTATATAAACTGAAAATCGTATTCCTGATACTTCATCACAACAGTATCAGCATCTTCTCTAAGCCAGCAGCCTAGCAAATTCCTCAAAGACCAAAATTTTGCACTAATATTTCCCTGTTATCTCACTGTCATCACACCCCCAGGCAGCAGTCAAGAGCTAAATAGGAATAGATCTTGATAGCTGAGCTTTGAATAGAAATCAAGAATATTGGATTAATTCATAAGTGTGTTATAGATGTGAAAGGCATGTGTGATCAGGAGCCGAGAGGCAGGAAGGTAAATGCAAAGCAGAGTGACTGTGCTCTTGTCGGGCTTGATTGCTAAAAGCACAACGAATGCAAGATTAATGGACAAAAAATACTTTCACATGTTCTGACCATTGAAAAGTGAGGAGGAGGGGGAATTTAGAGAAATTTGAGAGAAAAATTCAAGTTATGATCAGGAAAGCCCCTGATTGTCAAAATGAAAGATGGGGGGAAGGCCAGGATACCTTTAGAAAAATATTCAAAGCTAAATTGGGGGACACTAAATTTAGGAGCACTGTTTTTTAATTTCATTATTTTTAATTGAACTACAGTTGATTTACAATGTTGTGTTGGTTTCAGGTGCACAGCAAAGTAGTTTATTTAATCTATTGTTTTCCTGATTCTTTTTCATTATAGGTTATTACAGGATATTGAATATAGTTCCTGTGCTACTCAGTATGCCCTTGCTGTTTATTTTATATACAATAGTGTGTATATGTTAATCCCAAACTCCTAATTTATCTTTCCCCTCACTTTCCCCTTCGGTATCATAAATTTGTTTTCTGTCTGTGAGTCTGTTTATATTTTATAAATAAGTTCATTTGTATCTTTTTTTTAGATTCCACACATAAGTGATATCATGTGTTTGTCTTTCTCTGTCTGAGTTATTTCACTTAGTATGATAATCTCCAGGTCCATCC